TTTAAAAAAAGAAACAAGCGTTGTGTCAAGTTTTGGGTAGTGGCCAGTGTTACTGTGAGTTCTTCATTTAAAATGTAAGTAATAATATATTTATTATACTTTTGTCCTAGTGTTATATATGAAAATAATCCTCAGGATGTTTTCTTTTCGTATATCTTCAAGTTTTATAAATCTAAAGTCTGTTATGTTTTTATATGTGATGAAGTCGACATGCGATAACTTCGCCTTTTTGTGTCGGTCTTTCGTTAAGTTCTTGTATTGTATATTATTTATTTTAATAAAATATTTCTTATAATTAGTAAAACAGGTTATCAACTATATTTAAATACACTTAAGTGAAAGGAAAATAGTGAAAGTAGTAAGGATTTTACGTTTTTGAATTTTGTTCCCACGGTTTAATGTACGGGTGACTACAGCCGCCCGAAACGTTTATGATATGTGTCATATTGAGGGTTCGTACAAACGAGAAATTACGAGTGTATTTAACATGATTTTTCGTGACTGCTTTTTTATTTTATTTGGCACTGCACCTTTTTAACATATAAATGGTTGTTGTTTTATAGGTATAGTTATAAACAATATGGCTGCTTTTTTATTTTATTTGGCACTGCACCATTATACAACATTAGAGAAACTCCGGCGATAGGATCAGGGATATATTCCGAAACAATTCTTTTTGGGATCCGACATCTTTTTTAATTTTTGGAAAAATTTCGCTTATTAATTTGAAATAGCGTTGTATATAACATATAATTGTGGTTGCTGTTTTATAGGTATAATTTTATGATATTTCTCTTTTCATTCAACGGTTATGGTAAAACATTAAGAAAATAATGAGTTTTAATTCGTATGGTGGTTGTTGGGTTTAGGTATTTTTAGTTGTTTTGGCACTGCACCATTATAACATATTATTATGGGTTTTATTTTATGATATTGCTCATTACATTTAACGGTTTGGTAAAAGTTTTTAATTTAGATATATATATTTAAATTAATTAATTTTTTATACATATAATTTTAAATTAAATTTTTAAAAATAAGAAAGAAAAAAAATAAATGTTTCATTTAAAAATTTTAATATTTATATTTAATAAAAATAAAGTTATCGTAAACATATTTTTTAAATTATATTTTATTTATACCCATGCTCAAATAATCGTGTAAACGGACCTTAAAGCAGGCGGCCATCTTGCCACATTTTATAGCCGCCCGGGAGATCATACTCTAGAACGGAGTATGTCGATATTTTACATTGAAGTAGTATGTACTTACGTACTAGAACAGCTATCTCAAACAAAAAATGTGCACTACTCTGTGTTCGCGCGGTTGTTTTTTTATAATAGAATAAACATAGGTAGAATGATCAGTAGTTAATAGTAGATTATATTGTTAAATAGGTAAATTACATCGATAACAATTTTCAAATTTTGTCATTTATTCTGTATATTATATTTGCTTATTTAATATAATATCACATAATATTATATCACAATTACATTTTATTGATATTTTTATTAGGGATGGGCCGAATATGGATTTCACCGAATACGAATATTCTGCCGAACATTATTCGGCAGGATAACCTGAGGACCTAACCAATTTATGTCGAAACTTGTTACCGTAAAGCGCGCGGCCTGACAGTTATTGCATCATCTAGTACTGAGGAAATTGCCGGCACATGCCTATGTTTTGACTATTTTTGTGATAAAAAAGTATTTCGTTGTTTTATTCTTAATAAAAATTGATAATTATATGATAAAAATGAGCGGCAGGAGATTTACCATTTGGACTTATTTTAGAGAAACTGACGACCAAAGTAAAATGAAATGTACTAATGTAATGTTTCTTTGTTAGATTCCAAAAACCATTTTATCGAGCCTTTCATTTGCTATGATTGAAAACAAATCTACAGTGCCTTAAAAACATAAATGTGTAGATTTATGCATTTAAGGTAAATCATAAATAAAATATACTTTCAACAGTAAAAGACATCGCATTACTCAATTCGTATATTTCAATACATTGGACACTATGAAAACGAATGTTCGGTGATTTAGCCGAATATTCGGCCGAATACGAATATTCGGTAAAGCTGCCTAATATGCCGAATACCGAATATAAAACGAATATTCGGCCCATCTCTAATTTTTATCTGAATATTTTAAAAGGTATCTATGTCAAATATAAAAAAATATTAAATATATGTTTATCAAAACTTATTAATATAACATTTAAAATACAAATATATTTATTTCAATTAGAATAAGAGTCGTTCATAAATGCTGGGCACGCGAGAATTAAAAATGAACGAATTTATTCCACTTTGAATTTGATGTGGAAACCTAAAAATAAAATAAAAGAATAATGAGAATGATTTAAATTTAAAAAATTTAGCCTAATTACAATAACTTATTTCTACAAAAAAGTGTGTATATGCTCGTCCTATACTTAAGTACTACCCACAGAAATATCGCATCTGAACAAATTAATTTCATAATCTATATTCCATGACGCGAGATGGCGTCTTAGGAGTAACTTGTTTTATTATTAATCTATAATACTTTTTATTGATTAAGTATCTTATTAACTGATGAAAAGTAATTCCTTGGTTTTTACTGACATTTCTTGAACTATTTGTGCAATATCTAAGTACTAACGATGGCATATTTTTATCAAGAGATTTTTTTAAATCAACACAACACGTGACAACTCTACAAGCGCCTAGCGACTGACTGATTAAAGTGCGGTGTATGCACTGCAGTTGAGTGGAACAGAGTAGCTGAATGCAGTGTCGCCTCTAGTACGTAGTACATAATAGCTCAATGTTATTTTAGGTATACTTGCCTAGAAATACTTAACATTCATATAACATTATTGTATAGGGTAGATCATGTATTTTAATAATTGTACAATAAATCAATAAGTATATATAAATAAAATGATACTGCGATTTTAACGAAGAAAATAAAAAAATGTTAGGGTTTTTCATCAAAATTTCTAAAATTAATCATTTTTTTACCTGTTGTACGTCAATTGAGTAAATTATTATCATAATTAAATTCTGCATTTCATTAGCTTTTTGTGGATAATTTTTATTCTGATATAGGTAAAGAACTTTCTCCATGGTAACAGTTTTAGTCGAACTGGTCGCAATCACCATGTAAAAACATCAAGGACCGGGGTCGGGACATTCAAGAGTATTGTTGCCACGTCACTTGGACGTTCAAGTGGTTATAAACCTTAATAACACTCTAACATAAACTTTAATCACCATTGCAAAATATATTTATTTAAGTCCTTTCATCACAGAAAGGTTAAAAGCAATAAGTTTGTAATGTCACTTGAAAATAAAAAGTCATAGGTTACAAAAATATTTATTCTAAAATGAAACTTAAGCTCTTAAGTAATAAGGTTAAAACATTATGTTGACATTTTCGTGCTTACTCTTATTTGGTAGTAGAGGTATTTCTTGGTATTATATTTCAATGCTCTGAACACAGTGAGTATTGAAAGATGTAGGGTTGCAGATTATAAATATTTTAGGGCAAGGGTCATTTTGTATGGTAGCAAATATTTTTGACCGATTTATAAAAGTAGTAGGACTAAGTAGTAGGCATTCATTGAAAGGTCGTCAATTTCTTTTTTAAATACCCTTTTCTAGGAGTGTCACATATCGATGTTAAATCTGATAATGATGCATCAGGAGACTTCAAGCAAACTGCATCAGCCCCAGTTACGTCACATATTTTTATTATATCTTCAAAAGTTAAAGTTTATTGAACACAATTTTAAAGTATTTCATGAAAATACCAACAGGTATAGCTTTTTTCTGATAAAGATTTTTTTAATAACTTGATTTAATAACTCTTTCGTCATTCTGAACATAAAGCTGAATTTACTTTTATTGGTCCGTGAATCTGAAAAAGTCATAAACAACTTACTTTTTTACCAAAAGCACTACACTACCTACACAATCTTACACTTAAAATTTTACTCGTTTTTAGTAATCTACGCCTTTGCGTGTTTCCAGTTATGTCCAATCTATCAAAATGAATCAAATATATTCTCAAATTTTTGGATGGATTGTATATATAGTTCTTCTCCTCTTTCTTTCGCGACAATAGATACTCATTCTGCACAGCGAACTGCTTCCCTAGGAAATTTACAAACAAAAAATATATATTAAATAATAATACTACTCCATACATGTTTATTTAAGAACAGTCGATGTTTGTTACAATAGTTGTTGCGTTGTAGCAAACATTGGCCAAACAATCATAATATTAGCTAATTGAATAATTTTTGCTATTTAATTCTGTTTTTATTTTATGAAAAACAATGAAATAAACTTACCAAAAAAAAGATATTCCTTCCAAATTCTTGGTGTTACGGTGGTTATTTGCACAGTTTTTGAATACGCCGTACTGCGACATTTCGACGTTTTAACATTGGCTATGATTGGACTATACTAAACTAATTTGAAATAAGACCACAGAAGTGTTTGTGGTCTTATTTTTCTGGCCGTTTTTGAAGCGCTTATCGGGAATCTAGTATATTATTGATTGAAGTCGATCAGTGACCAACTGAGATAACCATTCCACATGGATAGATACAATATGAACTGGTTCGTGGTACTAATGACCGAAAAGAGCTACTAGAACTAATAGAACAAGCTAGTTCACTGACCGAAATGTATAAGTACGGGGTGATCTTTAAAATGACCGAGCAGGCACAAGACTAACAGAAACACCAGAAAAATCTTGTGGCATACCATAGATAGTGATAATCTTAAATACCTAAAATATCTAGACCGGTGACGAACAACAGCATCTAAGGTGTGAAATGTTAGGAACTGCGATCGTCAATACGTTTCGCAAGCGTGACAATAATGGCAACCTACAACTAGGCTATGTAACGTGAGAGGCCCATATCCAGGAGTGGATTTTTGTGGGCCAACAAAGAAGGAAGAGGATATCTTTAATAGCGTAAATACTACGTACCCCATACCCAGGAACAGCTTGAGATTTCCATATAAATTTTCCCAAATTGGAAATGTTTAAATTCATTTTGTTTTATAAAGTTACAGGTGCCTAATATTATATTATGCTTTTTAAATTATTCACTTTAAAGTATAAAGTTAAACTTTTTATTTATAACCTAAAACGTTGATGTCAAATGTCATAGAATCATAGGTAATATTTTGAATTAAGATTTTTTGGCTTGGATACTTGTTCTTTAAGCCATGTCTTCATTTTTTAAACGAGTTTTTTTATAGATTTGTGGCAGCGCTGTCATCGCGCCACAAGCGAAAACACACCGAAGCCTAAATCGCGCTATAAAAATTCCGAATCATAAACAGTATATATAGAACATCTCCGAACTATCATATGGAGCGTTGGCCGTTCCCCGGGCGCAACACCTTGCCCGGCGGGAGATCTCCCCTTTTCCTACCACGGCCACAGATTATTTATAAATTTTTGTTTAAAAACTTCTTCATAAGATTTTGATTCGTTACATTGCGAAGTATTTGGGAGATTTTGAGGGCATCTTGAGCCCACAGACGGTGGATGGCGACAGTATTTCAAGATGCCTAAGAGAGTAGGTTCTTTAATGAATCCTAAAGGAGCATCAGTTAGAAGTAAAGATGTGATTAAACGTTAAAAATTATGCTTATAAGTACGATGTTCCAAAATTAATATATTAAAATAAAAGTTAAGAATTTAACTTTTTAGAATTTTTATGATACTAGTGACAATATAGTTCTAAACGTTAAAATTTGTTTGCCGTTACGTTATATTTATGATAAATAGGTCAACAATTTAATAAGGCCATCTTATTGTGATTATCTAATTTTTAAGAATGGTTCCAAATCACAGGGTTACTTTTTTTCTACATCATAATAAAAAATACTTTTTTCGCTTTCACACTATAGTTAATAATTAAACAAAAAACAAATAACGTAACTCAGAAATCGAAAACAAAAATACGCGCCTCAAATGTAGTCTTGAAGTCATAATCACTATCACACTCATTTAACTCAATAACAGATTAACAATTAATGAACTCAGATATAAGAAACAAAATACTCGGCCAAATTGAAAGTAATAAAGTAAAATAAAAATTGGTAGCTTATAATATTATAATAAATTTTATAAAATAAAAAAAATTATGTTATGTCATAATATAATTTAGAATTTAAAAAAATCTTGTTTAACAAACTCCAAAAGTAATTTTAATTTTTCAACAATTAACTAATTCTATCTCTTTAGAATAAGACGCGTATTTCCATATAAAGATCAGTTACGTTAAACTAATAGTCTTTTGCCAACTAATAAATATATAATACGAATCATACTCGCGTGTCCTCAGTTGATCGGGTTCGGACATCAATACACCACAGGTCATAGTTATACAATAAATCTTGTATACATACACTCTAGTACCTGATAAACTTTTATTTAAAACTATCTTCTCAATTAAATGACATTGTGTGACACTGTGTGTGAACTGACAAAAAAAGAAAACTGACAAAGAACTTCTGCAGTTCCATTGAACAGAGCTGCTATATTTTTCACCCACTAGAGTCCTATATCAGTCTTTGGAAAACTATGTATGTAATATGAAATTAAATCCCTATGTGGGACAGAACAAGTATTCTTCGTGATGAATAATATAGTCCTTCATGTACTAGATCACCCATTCGCTTCGGTTGTGCGTTGCTACCCACACTGGGTGCGTTCCGTACGGAATTTAAGAATTTGTGTTGCGACTCATACAAAATCTATGGAAGACTTGTGTTTGGCGCGGCTTTTTCCGTTCGGGATTCCGAACGCACTAGCGGTCATACGGAATCACGAGTCGGAGAAAATTCCCTACGGAAAAATACCGTACGTGTGTGGCGGATCCTTGAATTTATATAGACTTGCTGCGTTTGGAATCTCAAAGCGGAATTCTGTATGTATGTGGCCGTCCTAGAGGTATATAATTTATGTGTTCTGTGCTAGAATTCACTACGGCCCGCCACACACTACATACGGAACTCCGTTTCGGAATGCCGAAACGAAACGAGCGGGTCTGCCACAGATAGATGGAATCCCGTTTTGCCCGCAAAATTCCGTGCGGAAAACTACCGTAGGTGTGTGATGGGTCATTGATTTAAAATTGACTTGCAGCGTTTGGAATCCTGAAACGGAATTCCGTATGTATGTGGCCGACCTACATATCTACATATTGATATATTTTTGGGTATGTTCCAAAATGTTTCCAATATACTGGCGAATGCAAATGACGTAATTAATTGACGCCAATTTCCATCATAGTCGATATAACGAATCACCAGTATGGCGTCGAATTACGTCGTCATTTGCATTGGCCAGTGTACTGGGTTGCATTTCGGAGTCGGACATAGACGTATGTAAAATATATGAACCTGGCATACCTACAAGAAAAACGTGTATACATACACTTCACTGAGAGAATAAAATGGCGGTTAATATTTATCGATATTTCTATAGTAATAACATCGATAAAAATTGTGAGACTGTTTTCATATGGCTACGGACACACGGCACTCTATAGTATATACACAGTAATCTATGTCATCGCTCTTGAATTTTCTCGAGTCAATTCCATTATCTCAACGACTAAACAAGTTTGACAAAACCTTGTGACAAGACCGAGAATCTTTTTTTAAATAAATAAATGTATTCGATTTTTAAAACCAAGGAGTTTTCAATTAAAAAGATTTTAATATGACAGGATAGACAGTAGCATTCTCTATCTACGAATATTTTCCATACCGTAGAGGTTAAAGAACCGGCAGGAGAACGATCGCCGTAGAAAATAGTGTCCCAGAAATATTGACACCATAAAAGAGGCGCTGCGATCGCTAAGTTCACTCAATGAAAGTCATTTTCAGTCTATTTTTCCGATCAGATGCTAAACCACTTGCACATCATACAACAAAATATTTCTCCATTTTTTATATTTCTTTTTGTCAAAAATTAAAAAATTACAGAGCATAAAAACTTTCTCACCAATTCCGCGAAAAAAATTTGTACATTATTCAACTAACTTCATCTACTGGTACTCATAAACAGCTAATTTCGCAGCCACTACTCACCGACGGCAGCACCACTTTAAATTCTACAAATTTTTAAGGACATGGGCTTAACTTTAGTACGTAGCGATCGTTCTCCTGTACTCTAACCTTCATGTTCCTTACTTTACGCATTTTAGGTTATAATAATTTTTTTTTCGATAACGGTGCATAATCTTTTAATGTGAGTGGTATTATCATAATCGGGGACCAAACCTCTACCGAATAAAACACCTTACTCCACCAAATTCCTGCCAAACGATTCTAAATTCAACCACAAATAAGTTTTTCAATGAGGCTAGAATGAAGGGTTGCGATTATAGTACCTATCAAAAACACTAACATCCTTTTTCACTTACACAAGATTAAGAAGGTTAAAAAGAGATGGCAGTATTATTATGATGTCGGCGTCGATAAGCCTCATATTTGTATATCTATTTTTTCTACAGTCAAACATTTCAACTCCATATGTTTTATTTGTGTGTTTTATATATACGTCTATGGAGTCCGAACATACCGAAGTAAGAGAAACCTATAGACAAATTGATGCCTTCTTTCACATTCGCACACAAAAAAGATAAATTTATGCAAACGTCTTGCATAGAAATGAGACAGAGCGGTGTGATTGTTTGTCCCTTTCTCCGTGCTGGTTTTTTTGTTTAGCAAACTACACTTTGCTAAACAACTTTGACAGTTCGTACATCGGTAAGGTGTTTACAAGTTGGTTTAAGTGAGAAAAAAATTGTTTTGTGAGCTTAAAAATGGTGAATCTCGTTCAGTTCAGTTCTTAGAACAATTAAAATTTTTATCTAAATATGTTTAAAAGTCATAAAGATTACTGTATAACCTAAAACTACGTTATCGTCCTTTCTCACTCTAGGCCACGTTAATCAATAGTGTATATGTTTCTCTGCCTACGGAACATACCCTTTATCCATATTTCTCTAGTATATATACAGTAATCGTATATCTTTGAGTATTCAACCAACAGGAGAGGCCATGCGCGTTAATTCCTAAACAAAAATTATGCCAACATCTAGGGGGCTCAAGAAAAACACACAACTGTATACTTAACTACAAATGCAAAGTTAAATCGCGTCACTATAAACGCTCACTACAGCAGGTGTTTGTGTTCATCGCGTTTTCGCATACTATCAAATTGTACACGTGTCGATACACTGATGGCGCTGTCAAATGCGTAAGCAACGTAAGGCGTGGACTATGTCGACATTTTTATCGATAAACAAACCACCATAGTCCGCATAAGTTTTTATTTGATTATAAGTAATACATAGATAAATAATACTGTTACGAGCTTAGGGTTCGTGATAATAAATACTGCCGATTGAATTACCAAAATTAACACTTTAATTCACTTTAAACTAATAAAAACTTAAAAGACACTAATAATTAATCACTCTGATTCACTTTATTTGGCTTCGAAGATTCGCTTGTATCGCCAAATTCAATACTGCCCCGATCGCGGCATGCAACGGCTTTAAATACACCTTTTACACCGAAACATCCAGAATATTCCTGTAGATACGGGCGCCGACCGACCTGACGCAGAAAGTTCGAGTGTGGGGCTTCTAGAAAGCTTAATTTTTCTGTTCGCTACTAGATGGCGCTGTTGTACGAAAGTTCAAGATTGACATTTTCTAGGAAGCCCTCCTCGCTCTGGTCCCCGACTTTAGATGGTGCTAGTGCCAGGTACCTGACGTCAACTAAGGCGCGCAACACTGCCCCCTCCTAAGACATGCTCGTCCCGAGCAATATCGGCCCCATAATAACGCGCCAGGCGATCCACATAGACGATCTTAGGAGTTCCTCTTGCGCCTTTCTGTATCCGGTAGGTTACATCGTTGATCCTGGTCACAATCTGGTACGGGCCGTTCCATTTAGCTTGAAGATTAGGAGATTTCCCTTTGCTGCGGACTGGATTGTGCAACCACACTAGTGAACCTTCGT